ATGTCTACTCAATGCAATTCTAGAGCACGGGCTCAAGTACATCTCCTTACATTGCCATAGACCCCAATTCCTAAGCATTTGCTATGCCTAGAATTGTAATATCAATAATCTGTTTTGGGACATCCTTACAGACTACCTCATCATGATCTCACATCATATTACATCAATTTAGTCACTTGCATCACAATCAAGTACATCAATTACAATCAAATCCTTAGATTCAATTCCTTAACAATTACAACAATCATTAACTAGTATTTCAATACTATTAAAATTATTCTTATCCATCATAAATTCCATTTTTAAATCCCTACATATTTAGAGATATGTAGCAGCAACTTAATCATCCAATGTAATACATAAATAATCATTTATGCATCTACACAATTCACATATGAGTAACAATGCCTATTTGACACAGTAGTTCATTTAACTCCATTTTTAGACATTCTTTGGCAACTATATCAATATTTCATCAATAATTTATCATCATAATCCATGAAAAATATGATTTAGACATTTAGGTAATCTCATGCTTAAACTACAGGTTGTAAGCAACTAGATGTCGATCCTCACCTCAAATGAGCTTTAAATTGTTCCTTCTCAACCCAATGCTCAAGCTTCGGCCAAGGGGGTTTGAGAATTGATTCCTTGATTATAAATGAGTTTTAAACAGCCTTCTCAAGGTGCTAGCTCAAATTCTAACTGAAGACACGAAAACAGTTTCTAGAACGGGTGTTTTCCGGCGAATTCGTTCCCTACCTTTCAAGGTTTTGTCTAGGTTAGTATTTAACCTTTCCAACAATTAAATTTGCTTTATAATAACATTTTATACACTTCAACCAGTTTATAATAGTTCTTTAATCATTTATATGATTTAGACAATAGAGAGGAAGGTTTTGGGTTCAAACTTACTTTGAATACCAAAAACGTATTCTGCGAGGTTGCGTTTTGTTCGGACGATTTGGAGGCCTTAAACTTCTCCGTTTTCTTCAAATCTCACGTATATGGATTCCTATTTTCGATAGATTTCAATGGCCACCTCACACGCCCTTTTTGGATGAGTAAAACTCCATATACGAGTCGAACAAAAAGGCTTACGCACTGGAAAATATCCTGCGGCCAGCTCTCCTATCTCTCTCTCTTTTGATTGTGAGGCTCTCCCTTCATTCTTATCCCTTTGAGTTCGAATGAGGGTGAGGGGGAGGTGTTTAAGAGTACACAAAAAGAGGGTGGGGTGTTTGATTGCAATCAAACATGGGATGATTCTTCTCTTTTATTACTTTTTTGTATTGTTTGAGCTATCAACTCAAAGGTCCGCCCCATTTATGTGTTCTAACTTATTCTACCTGTTTTATACGTGCTAGGAAAGTGTGGGGAGCACTTTTATGTCCCCTAATTAATTTGGGAGCAAAATATCTACTAATACTTCCAAAAGTGGAAAGATGGGTCCTATTGTTTTTCTCTTTTTTCATAAGATATACTTTTTATACTCATCCTCATTTATGTAGATCAAGTCAACCTTCTACATCATATTATTGATCTCTAATATGTGTAGAATGGTCCCAATAATTTATACGATGTATAATTATAAAAGAAAACCATACTCACATTATTTAGCTTAATAATGCCAAAGATGGAACCATAGGCATTCGTATTCTTCCTCAATCATTCTATCACTTATTTATGACATTAATATTCATATAGCTAGGCTACTAGCCATGTGGGTCACCCTCCAGTGGGTCTAGGATGTCATTCTTGGATAATTGCTATTTTTAGCAGGTTAGGCCCAAAATAACATTTGAGCTGCCCGACCGCTCTTACTTTGTACCGAGGGGTTATATATCTTTATTTAAGAATGTTGGGCCCCAATATCAATAAGATGACCCAATTAATTATTTGGAAGTCCATTACTATTATACGAGCCCAAACAGTAGTATGATTAATCATACGTTACGTAAAACGTTAATCATTTTACAATTGTTCGATAATAGGGAAATTCAATACATGAGCTTTGAAATTTAATTTGAATTTCAAGGACGTTCGGGTGTGGTGTCACACACTGTGCAGACCCGACCCGACCTGACCCGGTAAACCGAGCTCGGGACCTGGAGTGAGGCCCGAACCGGGGCTTTCAAACGGCGGGCTACAAGCTTCGAAATTGGTAAATCGGCCCGGCCCAGGCCTAACAGCCATAATTTAAAAAAAATGATTGAATTGGATTTGGGCTGTTGTTGGCTCCTAGCCGTTGGAGGGGGGTCTGGGAGGTTGGGTGTTTGGGAGGGTAAAAAAACCTTACAAATACACCTATTTTTTTGCACCTTTTCTTCAATTCTTCCTACTCTCTAATACTCTATAATCATCTTCATCTTCATCTTCTCCAATTCTCTCTACACATATTAATATATATCATATCTATTTAAACTAGTTATACAATTATTATATCTACTTATATACTTATTATATACTTATAAATACATATATTTTATGTACTTATTATACTTATTATCTACTTAATATCTATTTATTATTCATTTATATACTTATTATCTACTTAATATCTACTTATTGTATACTCCCTTCGTCCCTGAAAATACTTCCAACTTTCTCTTTTCGGTCATCCCAAAAAGAACTTCCCTTTTCCTTTTTGGCAAATAATTTGTGGTTCACAGCAATTCTTACACATTTTTCTCTCCTCTGCACAACTCTTCACCACACAAAACTCACTTTCTTAATCCGTGTGTCATTTGTACTACGGAAGTAAATTATGGGACGGAGGGAGTACTTATTATCTACATATATTTACATATATTATATCTAGTTATCTATTAAATATAAGTGTACTACTCATCTTATAGTAGTATACTTATATATTATATACTATAAACATTATATTATATATTAGTTAGTTAAAGTATAATTTATAGTTTATACATTTATTATAGTTTATACATTTATAATTTATAATTTAACTAATATTCATTACTATCAGTTAAATTTATCCTATTAGTTACACTTTCATTAATATTAGTTACATTTACGGATTTACCCTATTACTTACACCATTAAATATTATGGTATTGTCTTTGTTCTTGATTCTCATTTCAAATTAAATGCTTATCAAAATTGTGTAGAGTATTATTATACTTGTTTTTACGATCCATTACCTATGTACGAAGAGAAGGCCATAGATCCTAAAGAGCAATACACCGAGGTTAGTAATTAATTACATCAATTATTTAATGAATTTCATGCACAATATGATAATGCACCCCCTCCCCGAAACCAACTGCTTCTTCATCTAAAGGAAAATCACTTTTCAAACCTACATTTGGTAATCTCATGAGAGAGATAAATCAACTCCTGATATTCCACAAAGCTCGATTAACGAGCTTTCTTTATATCTAACATTTCCTGTTGAGTATGAAGAAGAGGGTGACTTTGACGTTCTTTAGTCGTGGAAAGATAAAGAAGGAATGTTCTCGGTTTTATCGAAGATGGCGAAGCAAGTGCTATCAATGCCGGTGTGTGAACGATTTCCAGATCAACAGTCGAATAAATCTAAATAATAATTGAAAGAATTTAAATAGTAGAAGAGAAATTCATCAACATTCAATACCGTATATTCATGATAATATATCAATGATGAACAATACACGAATGAACTGTTGAGAGAGAATATTCTATCTATGTGCTCTATGAGAATAATATGTGGAACACAATGTGTAGAGACTTAGGCCGTTTCGAACCATATCTGCCTTTATTTATAGGGAGAGATTCGAATACCCTTTTGCAATTAGGAAACAGAGTGGCGTGTGTGTGGGCTTTAATTAGAGCACGTTAATAGGGCCTAATTCTCTCTCAACTAATCCTGCTAATACTAAGACTCATTAATTAAATTACAATTACAATTAATTTGAACACAATAAAATAATGTTCTAACAGCCGGTATCAACCGTAGCCGTGGAACAAGAATTTAGCGAAATCGGCAACGTCCTCACCGATTATAGAACAAAATTGAGCGCAAACTCTCTTAAGACGCTCATTTGCTCTCACGATTGGTTGAAGGCATGACATAGAGTTCAAGAAGTTTGCATCGTCCCCGACCGCCACTTCATAGAAGAAACAACAACCGACGCTGACGGAGATTCTGACTGAATTTTACCAAATGTATTTAATGTTTCAAATTATTTTCAATTATCAAGTGTATATTTGTACTTCAAATTTCAATAAATATACATTGGATTGTTTTTAGCACTTGTGAATTAGTTAACACAAAAAACAAAAACATAAATAATAAAGCCCGACCCAGCCCGAGCCCGACCACGCTACCCAGACCATGACCCGCTACCCACCCGGGCGGTACCGGGCCTAACTTTTTTAGACCCAGAGCCCGCGTTGACCAGGCCTGAAACCTGCCCCGTCCACCCCTAACCGCTTTATTAAATGAGTCATTGATATTTTAAAAGGCAAAAATTGCATCACCTAGACAACTCTAGACGTTAGACGCCACTTTAAAGTTCCGTGTATCTACAAGACAATAAAGAAGACAACCTAAATTAATTTGATCCTAAAAATACCTAATTTGATAAGTAATTAATCGCGAAAAAGATCTGAAAATAATCAAACATTACTATAAAAGTCTATTATGAAATTTCATTCATACACTATAGTTAGTACATCTATTATCCATATATACACAATGAAAAGAGAAAATCTCAACTTCTAGTACTTGTGGGACAAATAATAAATAAAAATATAATAAAATATAACTAAAAATGAACGGGGAGGAGGGTACTGGACGGATAATGGGACGGACATGTATAAAACCATAACCGCCTCGTTACCCGTAAAAACAAAACAGGAATTCCTTGCCCCGTACCCGTTACGCGGTCAATGTGGTTTTCCCCGTTTTGACCAGGTGCAGTCAGTTCAGGTATCCATCGGATCGATCACAATTGCCATCCCTACCCTTTAGCCTTAAATAAAGTTGTCAATGATTCAGTTACAAGGTTTGTAATCTTTATCGAGTCTGTTAATTTACAATGAGAACTTGAGCAAATTGAAAGTGGCATCCATTACAGTGGCAAACTGCCGTACTGCACCATGAATTCAAACTTTTGGCCATTGGTTACAAAATGTTCAACAAAGTCAGATTCAAAGGCAAGTATGCAATACACCCTTTGGGTGGAATGGCTTAGGAATTTCAATTTTATTTTACATACGTAGTAATATGAAGGCTGCATCAAAGTCACTCTAGTGTTAGTGTTACATGGGAAAAGAACAGAAAAGAGATTCTAAAACAACAGACTGGCCCAGGCAGCAATAAATGCAAAACCACCAAATGGTGCTACCTTAGAATACTTTCTGTCTTCAAGATATGCAACTGTGTAACATCTGCAACAGCAAATACACACATATACATAATTATTATAACAAATATAAGATACAAATGTATATTCACTATTATGGGCACAAGCATGCACGCTAAGCAAGTCGATTTAAAGGATTGTATGCATCAGTACTGAGATGTTTCATGCAAACATGACAATTGATAGGACGCAGAAAATAAACATTTCATATTATTCAAACATGACAATTGATACGGCGGAAAATAAACATTCCCTATTATTGACCAAATCCACATGGACTTAGTTTTAGTTATATATGTTAAGTCATTCTGCAACAGTCATATATAAAAAATACATACAAGATATTAGATTTTTCCTCTTATACTAATAGCCTCTTAGGATGGAACTTTATGACTCAATATGATATTAGAGTCAATTAAACTTAAACGAGTGATCGATATAACTGAGACTCGATTTGCCCAAAGAAGAATGAGCACACAGGCCACCAGTCACACCAGTCACAAATTTAGATACAAACAAACATAAAAGGCATTATCCTCTTATTACACTGATCATTTATTTAGGATGGAACCCCAACATTTAATAAGATGAACACACTAATATTTAGTTGATCTCTCCATAATTTCCTGTTGTGGGTTCTCTTGTTAACACCCCAACAATAAACAAATAAGTAGTAAAGCGAAAAGAACAAGCTGGGTTCTGATAGAGTGCTGAAATATCAGAGCCGCAAGAAACGAGGAACAATTGTTGACTGAGTCTTCATTTATTCATAATTGTTTATTTTTTTAAATGAGTCTGTTAGAGAAATAAGTGGGGTTTGGTGTCATGCATCAGTCCACTAGGGCAGTTATTAGATCATGGATGGAGTCGGTTAATGTGTCAGTTAGTTATTAGATCATGGATAAGTCAGTTATGGGTCAGTTGTATTTCCTTCTTTATAAATAGCCTAGCCTTATTCAGGTTGGGTGTACAGAATCAATACTAATTTCAGACTTGGAGATTCTCCCTTGGCTTCTACTATCGCTCATTTGTGAGATACTTACTGTGAGAGAGAAAGTAGGAGAGTTTAGCCACTCAATTCATAGCCTCTGAGTTCTGATCTTATCATTTGGTATCAGAGTAGGTTTTTATCTATCCATGGTGACCACATGCTCATCAGCGGCAACCCGCAATCCAGAGGAAAATCCATTTTCTGCCGATCCTCTGGCCACCATTGCAGCAAAACTGGAGACACTTGACGAGTTAAAGGAAAAAGTTATAGCCTTGGAGGTTCAAGCCTCCAAATCCAACCGAGGGAAAGGGAAGACGAAACAGTGGGGCGATGATACTGAAGAAGAATCTGATTCGCACCGCCCGCGACCACCACAAGCAAAAATTGAATTCCCGAAATTCCAGGAAGGTGACCCGCGTGGGTGGATTCTTAAGGCTGAGAAGTTCTTCCGTTATTACGAAACACCAGAAGATGACAAGATGGACATAGCTTCAATGTATCTGGAAGGAGATGCTCTGGATCTGTTCCCGTGGATTAATACGGAAACGACTTTGCTTTACTGGGAAGAATTAGTGAAAGCTCTAGAGGAACATTATGGGCCTCCAGAGTACAACAACAACAACATCCAAGCCTTAGTCCCAAAAGAATGGGCCTCCAGAGTACTTGAACCCAAATGAGCACTTGTGCAACATTAAGCAAACAGGCTCTGTAGCGGAATACCGGCAAGAGTGGGCACGAAGGATTGCACGAGTAACCAATTGGCCAGAGCACTGCTTTCTTGGAGTATTCCTAAATGGTCTTAGAGAAGAAATCAGATCAGAAGTCAGAATTCATAAACCAAGGTCAGTTTATCGGGCTGCTAGTCTAGCCTTAGAATTTGAGAAAAAGCTAGCCCAAATAAAGGGGTGCAGGCCCAATTCGTATGCTTGTCAGAGTCAGCCCACCTTCAATACTAATCCCATTAATCCAGCACGTGACCAGGGAGTGACACCGGGAAATTCTAGTACGCCTTCTTTTTCGACAAACCCAAATAGAGCCACAAATTTACTTCCATCCGCAGCACGCTCGTGGGAAGAAACGAAACAGCAACGGCGCGACAAGGGTTTGTGTTTCCATTGTGGGGACCCATTCCGACCAGGCCATTGCTGTTCTACTACGTTTTCGCTGCTGGAAGTTGTAGAAGACGAGAATTCAATGCCAAACTCTTTGGAATTAGCTGAAGGCACAGAACAGGAACCAGGAGTAGATGCCGAGATTTCTTTTAACGCCATCCTGGGCAGTCCAACAGCAACAACAATGAAACTGTGTGGCTTATAGGCTAACAAGGAAGTATTGTTGTCAGTGGATAGTGGCTCAACTCACAATTTCATATCAGATTCACTGGTAAGGGAGCTTGACTTGGCCACCTCCTCTACTCAGACAATTGCGGTTCAGCTTGGTGACGGTCATGTGGTGCGTTGCAACTGTGTGTGCAAGGAGATTTCAGTACAACTTCCAGGTTTGACCATCACCCAAGATTTTTATCCATTTTCCCTTGTGGATTCTGATATGGTACTTGGAATTAAATGGCTTGCATCATTCAATACCATCCAATCTAATTGGAATGAGATGTTCCTCATGTTCTGGGTGAATGGGAAGAATTATAAGTTACATGGAATATCAAAGAGAGAGCGTCAGCCTGCAAGATTTAATCTTATGACCACAGTGGAGTCTGCATTTAGTACACCTGGTCGTGACACAATGTGGAAAGGGTGTCCCTGGAATCTGAAGCTGTGTTTGCAGAACCAGTCACTATGCCTCCATTCAAAGATCATTTGCATGCCATTCCTCTGATCCCGGGAGCTCAACCTCCCAGCCTGAGACCGTACATGCACCCATATTCCAACTGAATGAAATAGAGCGGCAAGTGCAGGACCTTCTCCAAAATGGGGTCATTAGTCCCAGCTCCATTCAATTTGCAAGTCCAGTTCTATCGGGGAAGAAACAAGATAATTCATGGCGTGTGTGTGGGGACTATCGGGCCCTCAACATAATCACAATCCCCGAAACGACTTCGGGCTGTCAGGGAGGATTCCTTAAAACTTTGAAATAGCTCTCAGGTACTGTCAGATCTCTCATTCAACAATGCTTTGTGTGTCAAAAGAGAAAATATGACGCATTATCACCTACTGGTTTGTTACAACCCATACATGCACCGCAACAGACTTGGGAAGACTATGCGTTCTTAGTGCAGCAATTTCAAGAATTTCACCTTGAGGACAAGTAGTCTTTAAAAGGAGGGGGTAATGATAGAGTGTTGAAATATTAGAGCCACAAGAAATGAGGAACAATTGTTGACTGAGTCTTCATTTATTTATTATTGTTTGTTTGTTTAAATGAGTCTGCTAGAGAAATAAGTGGGGTTTGGTGTCATGCATCAGTCCACTAGGGCAGTTATTAGATCATGGATAGAGTCGGTTAATGTGTCAGTTAGTTATTAGATCATGGATAAGTCAGTTATGGGTCAGTTGTATTTCATTCTTTATAAATAGCCTAGCCTTATTCAGGTTGGGTGTGCAGAATCAATATTAATTTCAGACTTGGAGATTCTCCCTTGGCTTCTACTATCGCTCATTTGTGAGATACTTACTGTGAGAGAGAAAGTAGGAGAGTTTAGCCACTCAATTCTTAGCCTCTGATTTCTGATCTTATCAGGTTCCAAAGAAGAAAAATACTATGAACTTTGTTTTCCATCATTAGACACTTAAAATGTTTACAAGGAAAATGATCTTAATGGTACATCTTCATCTAAATTTAATTTGCTATAGAATGGGAAGAGAAACGGTGAAAACAAGAAAGATGTCCAGACTGAAAGTGAAAACTACTATAGTATTCCTACCTACACATGGATGAAAAAAAGCATCACTAAGACAATTGAGTCAGGGTTCAAACAGTAACAAAGTAGGAAATGAGTGATATGCAGAATTATATGAAGGATGATGTGGGTTTGAGGTCGCTCAAGGATATAGATGTGCTAATGGATGCAAAAAACTAAGTCAGCATGGGCAAAAGTTAATCACAGTGATCATTACCTGTTCATATACCCTGCAAGTATAAATATTTTTTTATAGAAGGTTGCAAAAGTTAAATACTGCATTTTCAAAACATCAAGGCAATAAAGCTGGAAACATACTAAGAGACATTTCTGTTGTAAACTCAAATTGAAGACGAATTGAAACCCAAATAATTACTAGATTCATTGGTACACAAGGCTAGAAGTTCATATCAAATTTATAACAACTGTAAAACATTAAATGGTTTTTCCTTGTCATAAAAAAGAGTGTGACATGTTTTTAAAGTTGGTTTTAGGATTTCAACATGAGTTTTTTATTAATGAAGGTGGTGCCAAGTAACCAAAAAAAATATTTCAATACTAGAAGTGTTTTTGAATTAAGAACTTAAAAAGAACAAAGCTCATCAAAGAAATTTTTAAAAGTACATCATTAATTGGATCAGGTTGTAGGGTGAGGTAGGGTGGCAAGCTTCTGCGCTCCCAATCATTGCATACATGTGTGTGTGAAGGATTATTAATTTACTCCGGATTTCATAGCACCCTTAGCTGTATCGTTCAATCATTTTTATTAGGAAATTATTACTCACTTAGTCCCAAATTACTTGTTGATTTGGAAAAATTTGCACATATCGAGAAACATTGTATGAAGAACATTTTACTCTTTAAGACTTTAACATTAAATGCACCTTATTTTTCCTGTTTAAAAAAAAATTGATGAAAGAAGAGTTAATATGGGAAAATTTGAGATATTAGAGCATTTAGCAGAGATATGAATTGATTTACTAACACAAAAACTATTCTGGGGCAACTTCTTTGGCTAAAACCACATCTACTTTATGAAGGAGGGTTATTGGCAAAGCAGCCCGAGTTTGACCAGATAAACAAAAAACACTACTAGGCTCGGCTAACATAAGAAAGCAGAAGGCAAATTTTGTGCCAGTATCTTAGAATGTAAAGAACCGTATATAGCAGGAAGCTCCTGGTTAGCATAAGAGCGCAACTGGAAACAATATGTTCAGCTTGTATACATTTACTAGAGAGTAAAATATTTTCGAACTTTTTCAGAAAAGACCCCTATAAACACTATTTCCAAAACAACCACAAAGAAGACATCTTGAGCAAGAGAGCAAGGATATAAGTCACTTACGACCCAGAAAATGCAACAATACCGGCTGTCAAAAGCCCTCCAAACTGCAATACCAACCAAAAAACAAAAAATAAAAGAGAATGAAAAATATAGAAGTTTATATGTAAATATCCACTGGGAAGCCAGACATATGATCAACACTCCAAAAAAGAGGGGCGAGGGGCAAAATGTGGAAAGTGAACTCACAATGTGGGGTCGTTTGGTAATAGGAGAAGCAACAAGAGCTGCTGTGTGAACCAAGTGATATAGTGATGCAGTGTGCCAAACCTTCCCATCCAGATAACAAATCACCATCATCATATGCAAATAACAATAACAATAATCAGTAAATAATAATTAAATAAATAATTGTTTCCCGGTATTACTCAAACAACACAGTACAGACTTTACATATGTGTATATCAGGAAAAAGAAACAGTGAAAAAGAGATAAAGATTCAATTTTTTTGCAAGGACATAAAGATTCAAATTTGAGACTACTAAACAGTAAATACCTCTTTGTATGTAGGGTTCTTGGGCTTGAATCCGTGGGCACCATAAGTGCCCAATCCAAGAGCAGCTACACCTGTTACTCATTGATCATGTTCAAGGGTTTTCATTTTCACTCCCAAAGAAGAAGAAACGAGAGAGCATTTGAACAGATTCATACTAATAAAGAGGTAATACAGTTCAAGACTTCTGTGCGAAATTACCAGATATTGCGGCAAATATAAAATGATAGACAAAAGTGAAGGGTGTACCAGATATTGCAGCAATTTTGTGCCACATATAAGAATCCATGATTCCCTTCTTTTTCTTCGATTCTGGTCTCTGACTCTATGTTCTTCACCCCCTCTACATATCATCCTCCTCCGATACATATCATATTGCATATATAAAAAATTAAAAAAAAAAATCTTTTTTTTCTTACATCTATTTTGAAAGTCGATTTCTTTTTAAATTTTACATATACAATATTTGTGTCATACGAAAGATCATAAAAATTTAAAATATTAATTTATTTTTTTGAAAAAATTGAATCAAAGATGCAAAACTTATAACAATTGCAAAATTTGAAAGCATTGTCATGGAAAAAACGATCGCTCTACATATACCTTTATTCATGATCTGATTAAATATAAAAATATATTTTTTATCTTACAATTTACTTCATTTCAAAAATGGAGTAGGATAAGTGAATATAAAAAAACATAAATCCATAAAACAAATATTCAAAGTAAAAGAAAATTAATATATAAAAAAATTGACATCATCCATTAAAATTTACTACGTAATAATAATTAGTGATGTTGGCAACAAAGTGAAATATTGAACTTATTTGTTAGAGTTTTGAAAAACTACCTTAAAGAGAACTTATGATAGTAATGACTTGTGATTTTCTTTTCTTATCATGCACGTAGTATTAAAACCATTAATCCATGTCTTCTAAACTCTCTCTATAATGCCACATATATAAATTTTACATGACTAAAATACGTCTAGGTAGGAATATTTTATCTTTTTGCAGTGATAGAGCTTGATATTTATTCATTGTCATAACATTGACGATAATTATAGCAAAATGTCTTCTAAGAAGTTTAAAAGGTCACGAGAGAAAAAAATGAGATGAAATTCTCTCAATCAATTATTAATCTGTTTATTTTATCTTCTTATACCTAAAAGCATTACATATGAGAGATAAATTATCCCGTTCAATTATTCGTATTCACATCTTATCTTACCTTCTTATATACCTAGTCATTACGTATGAGAGAGAAAATTATTCTGCCCAATTATCTGCACGTTAATCTTTTTATCTTCTTATATTTAAAAACATTACATGTGAGAGAGAAATTATCCCGCTCAATTATTCGTCTGCACATCTTATCTTAACTTCTTATTATACCTAAAATCATTACGTATGAGAGAGAAAATCATCCCGCCCAATCATCTGCATGTTAAGTCGGCTTATCTTCTCATACATAAAACCTCTACATATGAGAGAGAGAATTTTCTTGCTCAATTGTTTAAGCCGGCTAATTATATACCTATACTTCTCATACCTAATCTTCTTTATTATTATACCTTAAAGCACTACGTATGTGATAGAAAATTTTCCCACTCAATTGTTTTAATCGGCTTATCTTATAATTAAAAGCACTATGTATGAGAGAGAAAATTCATTCACTCAATTTTTAGCCGACTTATGAGCTTATCTTATAATCAAAACCACTTTTATTAGTATAGTACCCGTGCATACGCACGAGAAAGAGCAGTCCGAGCATATAATTTTACCCATGAACTAATTAAATATTAAAATAAAAATAACTTTGTGGGATTCGACATTTTCGAAAAATAATAGTACAATAATCTAATACCATGAAGTATAACTCATACAATAAATATTCAATGAAGAGTATATTAGAAAAAATTAATTCACAACACTCATTAGAATATGCAACTTATTAATTTTCATGATTAAATTCATTTTGATATTAAATACTACACTAAAAAAGGTGAGTACAATAAGTGGTTGACATAAAGTTTAAGTGAATACAATAAATATTAAACTTAACTAATACTTCGTATTAGTTAAATAAGAACTTGCTACTCATTAGTTAAATTAGTGCTAACATAAAAGAGAGAAAATTATATTGCTCAATTCTAGTCCGCTTTATCTTATACGTAAAAACATTATGTATGACAGAGAAATGTTCACTGCTTAATTGTTATTCAGCTTATCTTGTACTTAAAGAACAACATATATGAAAATTTCTCTACTCAATTGCTAGCAAGCTTATTTTCTAATACAATGGGTCCGATGAATTGATGCCACCTTATTTTACAAATGCTTAGCATCAATTGTGTTCCATATAAAGTCCTTGAGGTTGCCATGTGGCATATGTAGAGTAAAGGAGATAATTGTAAGGAGAAGAGCACATAAGCTTTAAAGAGGGAAAATTTGTCTTATACTTAAAAGCACTACTTATGAGAGATAGACATCTCTTGCTCAATTATTAGACGACTTATGGCTTAATCTTTCTTATATCTAAAATCTTATATCTAAAAACACTACATATAATTAAAATAATCTCCCGCTCAATTGTTAGCAGACTTGTCTTATACCTAAAAGCACTATCTATAGACATCTCTCAATTGTTAGTTGGATTATCTTATGTATAAAAGCACTACTTATGAGAGAGTGAGAGTGAGAAAGAGAGAGAGAGGGGCAGGGAGAGAGAGGGAGAGATAAATATTGCACTCAATTGTTAGACGGCTTATGGCTTATTTTTATATTTAAAATATTATATCTAGAAGCACCACATATGAGAGAAAATTCTCTCGCTCAATTGTTAGATGGTTTATCTTACCTTATACTAAAAAGCACTACAAATAAGAGAAAATTCTCCTACTCAATCGTTAGCAAATTTATCTCTTTAGTTTCTTATACCTAAAAGCAATACAAATGAGAGAGAAAATTATCTCGCTCAATTGTTAGCCGACTTATCTTATATTTAAAAGAACTACATATTTTTTATTCCCATATTTTTATTTGAGTTCCATTTTTATGTGTTTCTCTTCTTAATCATTCTCTTTTTATTAAAAATCTTTTTTCTCACCTTACTTTTTGTTTTTTTTTTCACTTTTACCCTTTTTCTTCTTGTTACTTTTTTGGTGTTTTTTCTTCTTTCTTCTTTTCTTTCTTCTTGTTACATTAATTCCACCATCAATTTATTTTTTTTCTCCTTTCTGCATCATCGTATTTTTCTAAGTAAATACACTCATAAATTTCATCAACTATGGAAAAAAATATTTGTGACAAAAAGATTAGGGTTATATAAAATTTAAAGAAAAATAAAACAATCAGGAAATGTAAGATAGAAAAAATTACATATACTCTTTACACGAAAAGAGGTAGACATGAGAAACATTTTCCGAAAAGGGTAAAAAATAAGAAGAAATTTAGAGCAAGAAATCATCATTGTCCACTAACTTGTCAAAAACGAGCAAAAAATGATGGGGTGAAAAGGGACAAAGAAAAAACCCAATATTCTTTAGGAAGGTGAAAAGGGAAAAAGGAAAAAAAAAAGAAAATTTAAAGAAAAATTGAATTAAAAATAAATAAAATAATAATGAGTAATGTGGGATAATCGTCTTCAAAAGAGAATTAACTGAATAGTAATAAATAAAAAGGGAAGAAATAAAAATGGAGAAGAAGACGAAGAAGAAGAAACAAAAAACTATTGAGAAAAAGGAAACAAAAACATAGAAGATTAAATAAATGAAATAATAAGAAGAAGAGTGGTAGGATTTTTTATATGTAGTATGGAGTATAAGGTTTTTAAAGAAAAGGCTAAAGATCTTAGTATAGTAGGTCATCAATCATTATGAGTCCAATGAAAGAAGATAAGATGCAAATGCAAAATTATTTTAAGATTACGTAAAAGTGTGATTGTTATAAGAAACAAATTATTATTTTCTACATATTTTGGGTCACAAACAAATTAATCTAGTGTGCACATCAAGAAATTCATGTACACACCAGATTTTGGGTTGAACTTTCAAGTTATAAGACACGCTTCTTCCGTTATGTTCTGTCGTTGTCAGATAACTATACTCAAATGATAGCCTGCTACATAAATCCTGGGAAGAGTCTGACCTCTGTAGAACTCCGCTCAGGCTTGAGATTTGCTAATAAATCTTCAGTTTTTTTTAATTTTTCATATTCAATAATTGTGTCATATGAAAGATCGTAAAAAATTATAAATTTTGATATATTTTTTATAAAAAATAGAGAAAAAATGAAAAGGTTATACCAGTTTGAAGAAAATGGATTTTTTTAAATACAATGGGTCCGATGAATTGATGCCACCTTATTTTACAAATGCTTAGCATCAATTGTGTTCCATATAAAGTCCTTGAGGTTGCCATGTGGCATATGTAGAGTAAAGGAGATCATTGTAAGGAGAAGAGCACATAAGCTTTAAAGAGGGAAAATTTGTCTTTTAAGGAGATATTTCTTTTCTTATATATAAATAGATGTGACATTTTATTATGTGAATTTTTTTTAGAATAATGTATGTGTAATGATTCACCCATAATCTATTTAAGGAAGGAACATATTTAGAGTAGACTTCTAATAGAAGCTATTTCTTTTCTTATATATAAATAGAATAGATATATACTACCTCCGTCCCAAATTGATGGTCCTAGTTCATGTTCATATTCATTTGGTCAACACAAATTATTCTTAATCATTTACTTTTTATATCAAATGCTTATGAAATTTGAACAACTTCATCTATGTGATATTTTAAAACCATTGATCTATTTTACATTAACAATACTATCATACATTGAACATTTTTTTCATTTAGAGTGTGTTTGGTAACACATAACATGGCTGAATCTATTGAAATTGATGAAGTTTTTGTTGAAACCGTTCAACCGGCTGCATACAGTGAATTATGGAAAAATTAATTTAAAATATATCTTATTTAAAAAATAAATAAACATTTATCTGAAAAAGTAGCTAAAATTTTTGTTTATAATAAATTCATTCAATTCGATCAGGAAGTAAATGAACTTCAATCTTTCTTATTTTGATCATTATACAATTTAGCGCACAAATTAACAAATTAAGTATTTGATGAAAAAATCACTAATAAGGTTGATAAATCCAAAATAGGGTCACCAAACAGCACATAATTTTAAATGAAAAATGAGAATATAAGCATTTTTATATATTATATAAGGGCTAGTTTTTATTTATAATAGTCACTAAATGTCAATAAAACATATTTTTATCCATTATCCCTTGCTTGAAAATCTATTTTTATAGGGTGGGCCCCGCCGATTATATTTCTCCTCAAGCCTTCATTGCTTTGGAGAAATGGACACATATGAATTAAAT